TCTTGGATTAGTGTACTATCACTAATTCCTTGTGTACAAGTAATGACTGGGGGTAAGAAATTAAAAAAATGTATATCAAATGACCCAAAAGATACTTAGGCACTTAGGATCGTGCTGTGGCCACTGGGTGGGACTTCTTAGTCCTGATCTGTGTTGGATGAAATGACCTTCATTTTTTTTTGCCTCTGTCTTTTCAGGAAACTTGGATCTGACTGGTCAGAAGCAGGTATTCAAAGCAGAGAACAACCCCTGGGTCACCCCGATCGCTGACCAGTTCCAGCTTGGTGTGTCCCATGTATTTGAGTATATCCGTTCCGAGACGTACAAGTAGTAAGTAGACTATGATTTTCTAAAAGTAGTAGATTGTGGTTTTATAGTATTTTTAATTATGCCATTTTAAAAACTATCATATGACATCATTGTATCTGTGGCAGTTAGCTCACAGCATTTTTAAATGTTTTATTAATAACCACATGTAGTAATTGTCTTCTTATTTATAGATGATTTTAATTGACGTTGTCAAAGGGAATTTATGCCAATTTTGTTTAGAAATTTTTAAGGTATTGTATTAGTTGAGTATTCATGGCACTAAGGAAATTAGCCAGACACACTAAGATCAGAACATACTTTTTTCCTCCCTTGAATGCAAAGAATAACAGCTGTTACGAACAAAATTGTTAAGCAGTTTGTTCATAAAATGAGAAGAGAATACTAGGAACACATCATTCTATTCTTTAAAAGCTTCTACTCTAGTGAAATAATCTCTCCAAGAGAAGAAGGAAAGGCAGAAAAAGAGGAGGAGGAATCAGCTGGCTTAAGGCACAGAGTCAGAATCCCTCAAGCGTTCACCTCAGGCCAGGCGACTGGGGAGCCGGCCCTAACACCTCGCTGCATCTACCTCTCTCTTCTTCAGTGTTCACAGGTTGGGAAGAACTCTGTCACCCCTGCCTGCTCTGTCGTCACCTCTTCTGTCATTATTTTCCCCTCATTCTGTCCCCTCCCCCATATTGAGATGATCAGTTATCTCATGCTTCAATGACCCCAGCCTGATGCTGAAATTTAGTCACCTCTAGTTTTAAACAAATGCAAAAGACTTGAAAAAATTCATAGTTAAATTTAATCTGTTTTTGTGTTCATTACCAACATTGAAAATTTAATATCCCAACTATTAGAGAAAAGGTAGAGTATGATCAAAGGTCATGTTTGGGTGGGTGAGAGTTTCTTTTTTTTTGGTATCAGAAAAATGCCCAACACTCAATAGGGCCCTCACTGGGCCAGCGGGTCGGTGCTGACTGACAGGCGGGACCACTGCCTCTGGTCCTGCAGCCTCCTCTCCACACCTCATGCTCCCGGTCACACGTCTAGGGCGTGTTATGGTCATATTTCCATCCGACAGAATCACAGAGATGAGCTGTGAAAAACAGATCTAAATAGACTAAAATTGCCGAAATGATGGCACATCCTCTTTTATGCAGGCAGCTTAAATCTTTAAAGGTAGCACCGTGACAATGACAGTATATCTTAAGACTTAAGAGTAAAACGAGAGAAATATAGGATGTGCGTTATTGTTTCATGCGCCACATAGTTACGCGCAATTATTATTGGTCTGTAGTTTCGTTAAACACGGATATAGCTTGTCCTCGGAAATTGGTTTAATTAGTGAAAATACAATTGCAAATTTAGATTGTTATTCATTTTGTTCCTCTTAAATTGTTAATCATTGCTATCATTGGTTGTAGATAGAGGTCTAACTTTTTGTTAGTAAATGGGAGGCTACTTAGAGCTTGGTTTTTTATTAGAAAATATTGTGTATATTTTAACATAAAGAAAATATGCAGCCAAGCTTCTCTTAATCCAGAACTGGGGGAAATACTCTGTTTATTATTCTGGTTAACCATTTTTTCTTTAACTATACATTAATTTATAATTTACAGAGAATTACAATATATCACATATAAAAGTGCTTCTAATTTTAATTTCATTTTACAAGATTAAGTTGCGAATTTATGAATTTTGTATTACCTCAGAGTCATTATTAGGCAATTAATCACCATTATATGCTACTACGAACGATTTCTGTTTGAATGTGGTTAGTTAGTATTCTGGGTGAACAAGAGGTTCATTGCTTTGATTGAGTTAATTGGTAGGTTATTGAAAGGGAAGATATGACACGGCATTTTAATCAGTGACATAGTTGATGTATATATTCCTGTCTGTTGCTGGCACCCTTTATTTGGGGATCAAAGTAATCTAAGCATTTTGCCTCCTAGCTTACCTTTTTGTGTTCAGTTTCCTCATGAAAAATTATATTTTATACAGTTAAACCAATGTTAAAAAGCTTAAGTAAGCATAGGAGAGTCATTGTCCCCTTTCCAAGGGGACCAGTCTGTCACCTGGTTGCTGTTTTTAGAGAAGTCCGTGTGAGCCTCTGCTGGGAGAATACACTTGACGGGAGCTTCTTGAGGGAGCTTCATTCTTTTATCAAACATCCCAGCCCAAAACATGGACTATTAACTAAACCAGACACTGAGTCAGACTCTTAGGCGTGTTAAAAAATATATATACTTGTACAAAAATGCCACTGTTATTGCTTCACTAATTTTTAAAACTTAGGTTCCTCTTTTATATGAATATATACACCTATTAATATATATTATTTTAATTACTAATATACACTATTTTTAAAATTTAGATTCCTTTATATGAATAGATATATGTTAGTGTATCCTCATGTAACTGGGACCCAGTTTAATTCTTTAATATTCTTAAGCAACTACTTCATAATTAGAAGACTTTTAGTATCCCAACTAGCTGAAAAAAATATTGCTTAATTACTTAATTAGCAGGTACTTGGCTGCTTTTTGAAAGTCATTCAAGAAAATAATGTATTCATTATACTCATGTTTTAAAAAAATACAAATTTCACAAATAAGTACCTTATTCTCTATTCTAAAACCTATAATTTCCAATCTTCATTTTTTTGTCTTTTTATATAAACCACATTCACTCCTCCAATAAAAAAATCCTTCTTTTCTATATAGATCTTTAGACTATCATGATAGCATATTTTAATTTTGTTTCAGTGCTGCAAATACTAGTGAACCTCCTTCCTTTCTTTTCCCCGTAACCAATTGACCTGTTACCTAAGCGAGAACAGTAAAGAACTTCCCAGCATGTTTCATTTTCATTCACGTCTGTGGTTGACTTTCACAGTGACCTTCGTGTTCTAAGCACACCCTCAGAGGCCTCTGAGTCTAGAGCAGTGACAGGCCGAGAAGATGGATTATCTGATTTCCAGGCTTTAATGGGCTCCAAGAGGAGATATGGACGTTTGAAACAAAACAGTGAAGTCAGTGTTTAGGAAGAATCAAAAGACTCTGAGATGATTTAACTTCATGAAGATGTGAGCTTTTGCAGTTAAGGCAGAGGAGGTGTGGGTAGGCGTGGCGGGGAGGATGTTGAGGTATGTAGTTCTTCAGGAGATGGTTCTTTTGAGTACATTTTGGGCATTTATCATGTCTTCCTCATCATCTCTCAAGTGGAGATTACTCTTTGTTCATTTATCGTACTATCAGCAAAGGGAACAAACAGACTGGCTGGTGTCATAGCATTGCCCATTCATTAAAAGGGAAAAGTAGATATGAAATAATTTGCTCTGTCAAAATAATTTGCTCTGTCATGTGGTTGTAGATCAAACTCTATAAGCACATGAGTGTTTTTAGGCCGTTGTTGAGTTACAGTCGCTTTTTAGCTCATTGTTCGATGGTCCTCGTCTCCTTGATGACCCCTCTTCTTTCTGTGAAGCAGAATTATGATGGAAGAGTCACCGTTTGTTAAGTTCCAGAAGGTAGATTTTTTTTTTTCCCTAGGAGGAGAAGTCAGGTTGGAGTCAGGATCCTTGACAAGATTCTTTGTGAAAGGGAGTAACTTGCACTTTTCACATTTCCATCAAGGAAGGTGCATAGAAACCGCAAGCCATTTTAAAAGCTGACAAGTTAACTCTTAACAAAAGAAGAGGTTTGACAAATGTTAGGCTGAAAACGTGTCAGTTGAAAGAGGCATCTAGAAAACAGGCATCCTCACGAAGCCTGCAATTTGTGAAGCATGGCAGTCCTAAGGCCTTATTTCCAGGGTGGCATGACTCAGTGGATGCTTCTCTGTCTTCTTCCTGTCTTGTGACTTGCTTTTCTCTCTAGAGAAAGGTGCCACTTTCGTTTTGCTTTATTTTCATTTTTGGTCTTAAATGAGGATTGGTCATACTGTTATTCGTGTTAGTTAATAGAAACACTTTAACAAAGCAATGCTTGGTGAATGGCGGGCAATGAGGAAAATGCTGGCAGTTTCTCTTCACTAGAAGGAATCTGGCAACATCAGTCATCCTGTTCGATGTGTAAGGAAGGACATTTTTATTTGCTGGTTGTTGTTTCTCAATTTGTTTTACTTGTAGAATTAAAACCAAGGGTTTTCTTTTTTCTGTACTGTGTACAAACCTGTTAGAGGTTATTATGGACATAAATGGGCTTTATTAAACAACTGCTATATCCCCTAATGGCTGCTGAGTCAGTGGCCTGAAGGTTCTTAAATAACAGACATAACTGGTCTACCAAAAGACTAGAGCATTTAAAACGTAATCGGTGATCCCATTCATTTTTTTTTTCTGGTCTAAGGTTCTCTTTGATTTTTGATTTTTATTTTTTGATCTCATTCATTTTAAGACAGCCCTTTGAAGGAGGAATTTATGTCTAACAAAAACTGTATAAACCTTGTTATTTTCTTGTGAAGTATAAATGAATGCACAGAGCTAGCAGATGGTTTTGTAAATATCACAAGACAGAGGAGAGGGTTAAACTGCCAGGACCTTTCCAGCAGTTAGCAAATTTTACATGGTGACAGTCAGTATGCAGAACAATGTAGACTTTTCTTTATCTTTACTGTATCTGAAAATAGCTCAAATTAAACCAGAGAAAAACAATATTTCTTTATAGTAGCCTTGAAAATGAAGAATCAGTTTTTTTCCTAAAGGTTGTGACGTATTGTTTTTATTTTAAAAAGTTGACTAAATATTGTGTTCTTAATAATTTATATTTCCTTCATAGATGCTACATGTGAATATTTTGGTTCTTTTTTAAGTTAATAAGTGTATTATCACATTTCCTCCATAATACAAAATATGATTCAAACTTTTGACATCTCTGAACCTATTTGTGTGCAAATTTGTTATATTTGACTAACATTGCTAAGAAATATCTAGGAGAAAATGTAAACCCATAAAATGCGTTATATTTTGGGTAGTATTATGCCATATTTCTTATCTCACTTTAAATGGTACA